GCCCACCAGCTCTCCCCCACCCGGTGCACACAAAGGCGGCCACTTCTTCCCCGGCTCTGGCCTCCTCATGGAAATGTGATAGCTCGGCAATGTTGGCCAAGCTCATGCAAGCAAAATGCCATTAACTTATAACGAAGTACCTCGCGCTGGGAAGAATTATAATAATTAAGCCAGATGGAGAGGGCACTTAGAGAGAGCACCGCGCAGGCCGGACCCGGCTCCCCCGGCCTCGGCCGTGATTATGTTGTCCCCGTGACATGAGCCAACTTGGACCAGAGCTAGGAGACCTCTTTGTAAATAAAGATGCCAGCGAGCGGGCGGCCAAGGGGGACCGTCCCATTAACGGCCTGCTCCGCTCCGCGGCGTCCTAGCAGGTTTTTAAAGGGCCGCTGCGCTGCGCGGCTGGCTGGGTTGGAAGTGCGAAGTTGTGTAGACCTCCTGCCAAAAGCATTCCCTTTCAATTGAGGGGGGAAATTCCGCCAAATCCTTCCCTCTTGGTCCCCAAACCCAAGGCCGCTCTCAGGGTGCCGTCCAACGGAAATCATCGCGGTCAGGCCAGCGTCCGCCGGCCGAGTGTACAGCCCCGGCGTAGGCTGAGGTGGAAACTGACGCTGGGACGGGACAGACGAGCGAGGGGATGGCCCCCAAGGCCGCTCCCCTGGCCAGAGGCCAGTCTCCATGGAGTCGGGACCGGTTCCCTCTCTCTGGGGGCTGCCTGGGTGGGCTCTGGCCGGGCCCCGAGGCCGCACCCCACCCCGGGGCACACTGGCGCTCTTTTCTTTTGCATCCTTTGTTATGAATTATATTGCTACGCTACATTTTCATTTTAAAAGTTCAAATAATGGAGCTGAAGCTCAATTCCCTTGTGACCTGCTAGCCCCCTCCCATCAGCTCTCTGGGTCCATCTCCAGACACGCCCAGTTCCCAGCCCTGCGCACCCTCCCCGGTGCCTCTGCCATCCTCTCTCTGTACCGACCCCGCGATCTAACGTTGAGCCCTAAGTGGGACCGCGCTGTAGTTCATCTTCCCGCAGCCTGCTTTTATGTTTTCACTTTATAACGTGTCTGTGCGGGCTGCCTATGTCGGGAGATATGAACACGGATGACTCCCCTCACGGGTTTTAACTCTGCAAAGTGGTCTATTCCATGGATGAGCATAATTCACTTAGGAAGGTCTTTTAAGAAAACACGGCATCAGCCCTGGGAGGTGTGGCTTAGGGATAGCGCATCGGCTGCACGAAGAGTCACAGGTTCAATTCCCCGCCCCAGTCAGGGTGTGCGGGAGACAACCAATCAATGTGCTCTCTCACATCAATGTTTTGTGCTCTCTCTCTCTCTCTCTCTCTCTCTCTCTCTCTCTCTCTCTCCCTCTCCCCTTCTCTCCCTCCCTCCCTCCCTTCCACTCTCTCTAAAAATCAATGGAAAAAAATACCCTCCGGTGAAGATTAATTAAATACATAAAATGTAATAAATTCTGCATCAGAAGCCCCAGGGTGAGTGGGACTGTCCCCTGAAACGCCCCTCGGGGTTCAGACGCTCAGTGTCCGGAGGACGGGTCCCTGTGGAGGTGACGATGGCTCCTGTCTCCATTCAGACCGTGCGGATGCCCACAGTGAGCCAGGCACCGTGCCAGGCGCCGGTATCCCGGGTCACTCTGCTCCGTGGCTGGGGGACAGTGCTGGGCCAGGTCAAACAGACAGAGGTGGGAGTCCCGGCTGAGAGCCAGTCCGCGAGTCTCCTGACCTGGCCGGGCCTGGGTTCCTCACCCCGTAACCGCGGGACCCCACGCCGCTCCCGACTGGTGAGGAGTGTGAGACAGTCCACGTCGCGCGATTAGCCGAGCGCCCGGGAACCACGATAGCGGCAGGTGCTCGCTTTGTCAGCATCAGTCTTGTTCCACTTGGCGATGACTGTGTTACCCATGGCAGCACCTGGTCAGCAAAGTGTGTCTGGCTTTCCAACACGAGAAAGAGCTGGGGTTTTTTTTCTTTTTATATTGATTTCAGAGAGGAAGGGAGCGGGAGAGAGAAACATCAGTGATGAGAGAGAATCATCGATTGGCTGCCTCCTGCACACACCACACTGGAGACCAAGCCCACAACCCGGGCCTGTGCCCTGACTGGGAATTGAACTGTGACCTCCTGGTTCCTGGGTAGAAGCTCAACCGCTGAGCGTCACCCATCGTTTCACCAAGCGCCATGGGTGGCCATGCAAAAGCCCGGCACAGGCAGCACGCGTGCCGTGGATTCTAGAGAATTCTGTCTGGCGTCCGTGCGGAAACTCTTCTGTTGGGAGGTAGGAAAGAAGCATCTGGAAGAGGCACCCATGGGCCCGCCTGCCCCTTGGAAGCGCCTAATTTTACTCCCCGACACGAGCACCCTCCGCTCGCCTGCACTGTGTTTGGAAGCAGGTTACGTAGGAGACAGTCGCTGAGGGGTAGACACACACACGCATGCACACGTGTGTGTGTGTGTGTGTGTGTGTGTGTGTGTGTGTGTGTGTGTGTATGTGATTCCAACCCAGTCCTGCTCCTCCGTCCATTGCTGCTGCTTTCCTGGGTCACAGGGCGGCAAACGCCGAGTGGATGGTGGCATGTGGGGGCAAGTTGGCACTCGGCGTGGCTAGGCAGTTGGTTTGGAACCCCTGGTTTTACAAGGAAGTGTGAGTTTTCATGAGAAGCCCGTGAGCAGAGTTCCCCTGTGAGATGGAGGCGCCTGCTGACAGCCGGGCTGCAGGCCCCTCCGACACACATGGTCTTGCTACCATTCACAGTGTTTCCTGGATCTGTTTCAGAATCTACAACAACTTGCCGGAAGTCAGAAAGAAAAAGGAAGAACAGAAGAAAAGGGTGATCTTACAGAGTAACAGACTCCGCGCGGAAGTCTTCAAAAAGGTAACGGCCCAGCCGCCAGCAGGTGCGACCTGTGTGTGGCGCCCAGGTGTGCTGTGGCCGCCAGCAGGTGTGAGGTGTGTGGCCCAGGTGTGCTGTGGCTGCAGCAGGTGTGCTGTGTGTGGCCCAGGTGTGCTGTGGCCGCCAGCAGGTGTGATGTGTGTGGCCCAGGTGTGCTGTGGCCGCCAGCAGGTGTGAGGCGTGTGGCACCCAGGTGTGCTCTGGCCGCCAGCAGGTGTGATGTGTGTGGCCCAGGTGTGCTCTGGCCGCCAGCAGGTGTGATGTGTGTGGCCTAGGTGTGCTCGGCACCTGACGTCTGTCTCCTGCTTCCGCAGCAATTACTGGACCAGCTCCTTCAGCGGAACGCCGTCTAACCCAGGCTGCCTGCCGGCCCCTGCCCGGACCTGAATGGCTCCAGCGCTGGACACACCATTAAACAGCCCATCTTCATGGCGGCAAACACTGATTTTTACTTGGGATGATTTTTTTATTTTTATTTTTTGCATAAAGGAAAGCCCAGCTTCCCGAACTGCTGGCCCAAACAGGCAGGACCAATGACACTTGAGGACGGGGCTCCGCAGACCAGGGGGCGTTCCGGTCACTACCCCGCCAGACCCCTTCTCCTTGTATTTCCGAGCTTTCCCTTTTGCTTCTGACCCCCACCCCCTTCCTGTGCCCATTCCCACCCGGCAGAAAGGCCTCGCTCACTCCTGGGGGCTCAGATCCCAGGGGTTCTATTTTTTTCATCAAATTTCCAAATGCATCACTTTTTACAAACCAGCCCCAGATTCTGCCAGCTGTGCCAGCCCACGCCCGGGTCACCGTGTGGGGCCTCAGGGCCTCTGGACGCGGCGCTGGCAGCTCCGGATAAGTGGGGGCTGCGCCAGGGGGCCGGGAGCCAGCGGCTCCCATGACCTGGGACTCAGCCCTCTCCGCCCCCGCCCCACCCCGCACCTCCCCCTCAGCCAGAGCCTGTGTCCGTGGCTGCTGCCGGGCAGCTCACGGGAGGAAGCGCAGGGACCTCCGTGTCCTCGCAGCCGCACCCCTGGAACAGCCGATGGCTGGACGCGGCGGGCTCCCCGCTCTTCCAACATTTATGTTTGTCATTTATCCACGTGTGTTTGGGGAGTTAAGAACTAACTAGTTTTTATCGAAAGTGGAAATAAAATAAATGCAGTTATTACAAAAATTCAAGCATTTCTCTGTTAGTCTTTTGTGTTCTGAATGGAGCAGCTCAGTGAGGAATGCCGCCGGGCCTGGCCGGAGCCTCAGAGGTGCCCCTCGGCCGCCTCCTGGCGCCCAGGTCAGGGTCCGCCCTCCCGATGCCCAAGGAGCAGGCTGTTCCCAGAGAAGCGGGAAACTGCAGAGTGAGGGTCAGGATCCTGAAGACCCAAATCTCCCCGAGGAAAGAGAAGGAAGTTCGGGTGCAGGGGGCAGTGAGCAGGTGGCACCT